TTCTGCTGAATCGAATGATATAAATAATTGAATATGTTTTTGGGCAAACTTGAGAAGATGGTAGGCTTGAATGTATCAAACCCATATTTGTGTTAGAAGCCTTGAAAATAGTGTGTCGGAAGCCTTGAAAATATTCAAAAACGTCGAGCATATTTCTAGAACGCCGCATTGAGATTGCTTCGAAACAGTGGAGGTTTTTTTGCTACCAAAATCAGCGATTCAACTTCCATGTCACATTCAAGACACATAAAGTTATGTGAGTCTCAGCCCCTAAGACATGTGAAACGCAGACGAACCAATACTTTCTGAAGATCAAACAGGTTCTGTTTGAAGTGCCCAGTCTCAAAACTGAACCTTGTCTGTTGTTGTACTCAAAATGATTGGTTGCATTTGATATTTTCGCCATGATCAAGCAGCGAATTCAGATAGCACAATGGGAGCTAACCAGTTCAGATTATCTGATATGGCAGAGCATGCTTTTGAGTCGTACTAATCGTCAATACTGATTGCTGCAAGCATTGTGAAATATGAATATTCTGAGAGACATGTTTTTGGTGATGTCTGGCCGTTCTCCTATCCAAAATACGACTCTTAAGTCTCAGTCTAATGTGAAAGATGATTATATGGTGTGACTATGAGATAAGAGTCCACTGAAGATGTGCAGCAGTTAGGAATGTCTGTCAGTGTTAGGTGCTTCGTTTCGGAAGGTCTAAGTTCATTTACAGACTGTAGTGAATTGTAGATCTTTGCACAAATTCTGTATGACTTTCCCTGTGAAAATGGATCACATGTTCTAGAAGACATCATGAAAATGGGCCAGCATTCGAAGTATGGTTCCATAGAAATTTCATGAAAAACTTAATGTGACTAATAAAACGTTTTAATGTGAACAATAAACGGGTATTGGACGTGACGATTTCAACTTTGTGTTGCGAGTGGACGAAAATTGCCAGTTTATTTTAGTTATCACTGTTTACTGATGACAAAAGCATGCAAATGATCCACTTCATACACCACTCATAAAACGTCAGTGATCGTTACTAGGATGGTATCACCTAAAATAGATTTGTTCAAACAAAGCATAAATTCGCTTGTAAAGTTTCTTTTAGATATAATATTGTTTTATGAGCGCACTTTTCTGTTCTGATGAGAAATCTATTTGCTCTCGGTTTTGTTTCATTTGATGATGACGTGAAAGGGTGCCGTCATCTGTTAATGCATTGTTTCTTTCTTGCAACCAACTATCTCAGCAATCAAAAAATCCACCTGCATTCTGCAGAGCATCTGTCAGCAAAATCATGCTGGATGACTTCCCGAAGAGTATCATTCCCTAAGGAGCTTCAAAATTTTGCCACTTTTTATTTTACAGTAGATGCACTTCATTGGAAACGCTATCTTAAATGGGTGTACAATATCGAATTATGACTGACTCAGCACTTTTTCTCTAAAACCCGTCAAAGTCGCCATCAACTTATGAAATACGTTCACTGAGAATGTAAACATTCTGTACAGAGTGGAAACTGTTCACTCACATCTGGGCGTTTTCAATTCAGCATGGAAATTTACTCGCTAAACAATGGTTTACAAGATGGAAATTTTGAGCGACGACATCAGTGTACAACGCTATCACAAGGTTGCCACTGATAACAGCAAACTCAGGCGGAGAGTTGATAGCTGATAACGATCGTAGTAGTGAAATTCAACGTAATCGAAAATTATGGATGTTTATAGCTATTGCGATTGAATATTGCTATCAGAAGAGAAAAAAGCGCAATCGCTTATTGATAAGATGCACGATAGACTGAGTGTACACACTAAGCATGTCATTTTAAATGGACATTCTTCTCATGGAATGCGCTCAACTACAATAACATTTCTAACACTGACTAATGTTCATGCATTTTGATTAGCCGTACATTATTTCTTCCAAATGCATTCAAATTAACGAACATAATTATGCGTTTACGATTCATGCTATTCAGCGATCAACTTTCCTTTTCTTCTTTTACGTTTGTTTTCTTGACATCGACAAACTGAAGAACTTCACTAGTGTTCGAGGATTTTGATCTAGTGCATTTCATACTCGAACGTTTCTTGCAAAGCGTTCTAGCTTCTGAAATGAGAATGTTCATCATTTATTGTTCAGAATGAGAGTCGGAATACCTAGTAAAAATGATATTCGATCTGAAATACCTCTTGTGAATTGATGGTTCGGCATAAAAATGAACTGTGTGCATTGATAACCTTGTAACTAGAGGCTTGTAATTACAGGGGAGAAAGTCAGTTCGGCGAGTTCAAACTGTTCACTATGAATATCGGTGACTTGATAGCACCTTACGTTGGTCTTAAGCCTGGTGAGAAGCCACTGTTGGACTCTGTTCACCAGTCCACTAACGGAGTCACCATCTTCAGAATGAATGTGAGTCAGTTCTGGTATGTAGCATCTCCCCAAGCGCATCAACCAATTGAACCACTATTGAGTAAAGAATTGAACCATGCAAAGTCCTAGCGATGGCAATATTCTCTGTTAATGGTTGAATGATAGAAGCGTAGTTATACATAAGTTCGGAGTGGTTAACCACGAACAAAATGAGCCAGTTGCATCATTCGGTGATTATTTGTGTCAGCAACTATCGCTCATTCGAAAATTCGAGAGGGTTGATCAAAATTTTTTGTGAGAGCAAAGCCATTTTCAGCCCCTAAAGACGCTGTTTATGGGCCAAATGGCTAATAGGTAGGTTTCGAAGGTGCCGTTGATCTTTGAACATGGTTGCTATGATTCAATTAAAGCCAAATATCTTTGAAATCTAAAAAGGTGCTAAGATGAAATTGTTATGCTCGAAGGAATTGTTTTGATCAATGGTGAATAAATTCAATGACGTGCTACAATCGAAATCGCACGTGCATTGATTTGAAATTCTGCATTCAACATGCAAATATTATTATGCGTGTTCTCGACGTCATTGCGGAGGACTCATTCGGATGCACGTGAAGTCAGAATGCATTTTATACTCGAATGCTTCTTGTGAAGCGTTCCAGCCTCTGAGATGAGAATGTTCATCCATCGAGAGGCTCATTCTGGAATGAACAACAATATTCAGGACGCTTCCAGATTCCAAGTCATGAGGGCGCTTACACGGTATATTTCACTCGTGAAAATTACAATACCGCTGAACCAATGCAATCGGCTACAGCCATAGTGAGTGTCTAATTTGATTAGTTTAATTCATTGCGGTTTTCTGTTTCTATCGTTCAATCATTACTTTACAAAATGACCAATCGAGAAATTGCTTTCGAAACCGGCAATATGCTCTTGCCTATCTTAAGAAATTTTATTTTGGGGCTGTGTTGTTTGTAACATAGTGGCATCATTTTCTCTCACAGCTGAAGTGGACTTCTCCATCGAGATCCCTTTCACTGCAGCATTTGTTCACATTCACACCAGTCATCATGGCTACCTCCTGATTGCAGTTTTCAAATGAGCTGTTATTCGACATTCTCAACATGAGCGCAGAATGTGAAGTTTTTTTTTTTGAAATGAGCGATTAGTTTTCTCCGGAAGTGCCGCTTATCGCTCTGAGAAGAATATTTTTCCAGGCTGGCTTCTATAATGCAAAATATTTCTACGAAATGGTGGACTACGCGAAAATAAACATGGCTGTTGGTGCGTTCAAAGAAGGGCTCAAAATTGACGACGAAGGAAAAGAATTTCCCTTATTCATAGCGCATCGATACGGTGGTGAGCCTGACGTGCAGCATTCATTAACAGTCGAACAGCTCTATCAGGTATCATCCCAGTGTCCTCCAATGATGATTCCATTTGATGCACGTCATCCTAGAAACGAAAAAAAAGCAACTGAATGGAGCGAACAGAATTATACGGGTTCCTTTTATGTGGATATAGAACAGAATTATACGGAATATGAAAATCGTACAAAACTAAAACTTAATCAAAAATAAGTAAATATCTCACGAGAATTTCTTTTCTGACATAGCGTCCCATAAATGGCGAATTGTTGCTGTGAACGTTCGTTAGAGAGTCCTTATCGATACATTTTCACATTGTTTGATGAACGGAATATTCTAGTATTCATTCGTGGAATGCTCTTGATTCAGGTTGCAACTGAACTGAGCAAATTGCATATTTTCTGTTTCACTGACAAGAGTCCGGAAACACGCAGGACGTTGAACGAAAACCATACGATCATTAAGAAATTTCACAGCGACAAGTTCGCAAATGATTTATTCATCACTCTGAGGGCATTCACAAATGAATTTGCGAGATTCTTCAAGAAACCAGCGAAAATACCCGAAATGGTGATGTTTTCTTCTTCCTTTTTCTTATATTTTTTGCGGCAATTCACTGTTCAATTCATTTCACTTGCAATCCGCATTTATCGAATTTTAACCGCAATGCAAACAAAAACCCACCTCAAAGCTAACAGATTTTCGAGCATTGACATTGTTTCATCACCAAGTGCAGCACGTCAAGAAATACCTTTTGAAAATATCAAATTCGAAGTGATGATGCATTATTCTCGTTGTGATCCTAATCGTTTGTGTTCGCAGATCGGTTCACTTTATAAAGATGCTGATGATCTGGGCTATGTGAACCTTTTGTCCGAACAACTCTGGCAACCACAAGTGCTTTGTCACGGAGAGTTAACTGCCGATAAGCTGGTTTTCGACAACAATGGCAAACTTCTGGAAATCAGGGACTGGGATGTGAGTTCGATCATTTTTCAGGAGACACTGAACGCTCTCTCTATAAGTCATATTGAACTATCTGGTTTTAGTTTTGCTCTTCTGCAGTGACCATATCTTTGATTGCAGTTCCCCTCTGTCATACCATTGAGGAGGCATTTAAAACAACCAATTATTTAAAACGCCAATTATTTTCCGTAAGGCGGAAACTAAATATCAGTAAGGGTACATTTAAAGTCTCGTAATTGATAGAAATTAGTCATTTTCTCAGCTTTGACGTTAAGGAAAACATCAAGGCTGAACCAACTGATCAGTTGATAATTTGCAATTAGCTTCAGTGGAATGATTAACTTAAGAGTTGAAGCATTTGCTTTTCCGATAGAACGTAAAAAAAAGCAAATGACTAAATCTTTAAATCGCATTCTCACTTTGAATCACCAACAGAGTTTTTGTTGATCTTTTGCTGCTGAATTCTTCTCCATTTCAGAGCGTTCACTATGGGAGTATAGCGGAGGATTTATCATTTCTCATCATCACTTCTTCATCGACCGATATTCGTCGAAATCACTTCATGAGTGTTTTTCGTCATTACTATTACCCACTTGTTGGCCACGTGAGAACATCCTTCAAACTTGTTGCACTGAAAGAATCGTTCAGAAAATTGCACAAATTCGCCGTTCTCTCAAGGTTGATGATACTTCGAAATTCGCTGGCAGCTTATAAAAATCCCCCTAAAATAATATTAATGTAACCTACTCTTGTTGTGCTTCTACGGCAAAATTTCGTTCAGAAAGTGTTCTCCGGGAGAGCTGACACTCTCTCAGAGATTGTTCTCTGAAGCAACCATTAAATGCTTGGATCTTTCTGGCTGAGGAAATTCTCCTCAAGAAATAAATTGATTTTCATTTATTGAAGCACTTCATTCGATTGAAGTGCATAATCTTCGAGCATCGCTTTCAGTATGCCCCTGCTGATGAGAGCACTCGTTTCTGAGATCAGCGATCAACAGAAAGAGGAACGTGCTCAGCGATGGGAATCTGCAGTTGAGGATACGTTGGATTTCGAGCGTGCGGACTACGAGAGCGATAACGAAGACGCTTTCTTTAGCAAATGATCGATGTGATTTGCTCATCTGAAAGATTGATTGCAAATTTGAGAGTGTCTTTGATGAGCTAATTCCTTTCCATCCATCTTGTTTATTGTTTTTACATACGATGTTGTGAACTAATGCAAAACTTATAATAGACTGGATCGTCGATCAGGCAACTCAGTTTTTTGATAAATTATTTTTGAAATGTCGCTGCGAAGCCATCACTGCTATCACAGTAGCATTTTCATAGTTCAGTAATCGCTTTTGTTTTGATTCTATTTCAGCTGCACGCATCAAGAAAGTTTCAGTTGGAATTTCAGTTGAAAATTGAGGTTGTTCCTACTTCAAAGCATGAAACGGAGGCTTATCACTAGAGACGAACTTTGTTTAAAACCACAAAAGCTTGGCTGAACTGGCTCAATTATGCCTGTCCAAATGAGCACGTTGCATCTTTTTCTCATGCTGATGGCACGCATTACTTATACGCTTATCACTGATAATGAAGAGTTGAGTTAATATAATCATCTTTTTTCGTCTTCCATCGTCATTTTTTATTGGATGGCAATAAAGATTCGCTTTCTTATTAGATGGCTTTTTTGGCTTTTGTTTTCGCTTCCAATTTTGGCTTTTTTCATTTTTTCAATTGGATATCATAACTAATGACTTGTTTCTGGCTAATAACTAATGACCCATAACTTTATGATAAAAGGAAATACCACATCAAACAGCTATCTGTTGATTGCACTCACTTTTCTTCAAAAAAAAACTTCTACATATTCCGTGTTGTCTCTGAGACATATGAAATTGATGTTACGTGACCACAATAACTTCTTGAATTGCATAAAAAACGACTCTTCTTTTCCGAATGTGAATTTTTTTATTTTACAGTGTCGTCAGATCAAAACAGAGAGCAGGAACAGCAGTACTCAATCGTAAAACAGAACACTCAGTCACTGTATTACGAATCAAGAAATTTAGTTGTTTTTAATTTTAATGTAATGCCTTTCTTTTGGAACAGGAACTTGCCAATTTTGTTGAGTTTGCAACTTTTGATAAATGTGGATGAAATATTCAATGCTTCAATCAGCCCTATTGAAATACGCTCAGTTAAATTATGTTCAGTGACAAAAATGAGTGAATCTGTGGGATTTTTGTTATTTATAATTCTCTAGAGACACACACTGCACTGAAAAATTTGTTTTGCATCATTTTTCCCAACGACTTGGCGGTACCAGGTGTTGCCTGAGGCAAGCGATTGGTGTGGGAATTCCTTTCTGGTACTCGAAAGCACCAAACAGTTTAGGCGTCCAAATGTGTATACGGTGCTGGAATGGTGGATTGACGAAATTCTGCTGTCATTTGAATACCGATTAAGCTTCGACATGTATTGTACATCGCGCATTTGAAAGATTTATGTATGCGATCATTGGGAATGTGGCGGATGCGCCAATGTTACGATATCTTCCCAGAACTATTTAGTCTTTGACGAATATATCAAAAAATTGCATTCTTCCAGATTGCTGTATGCAAACGTAGTTTGTATAATACAAGCATAACGTGAAATACGTAAAGCAACACGTTGAGGAACAATTACATGAAATTATTATTTGCCAGTTACAATAAGCGAAGCATTCCTCCAGACAACAAACTGTGCAGATCATGGGACCATACTGTTGATTCAGTCGTAATTCTTCCAAACTCGAACAGATAAAACTGAAGATTTCCTGCTCTATCGAGAAGTACTTTCTGTTGATCGTGAATTGATTTGGAAATAAATCATTGAATTGGTTGTTATTAGAACTGATGAGGTATCACGGATGAAATGCCTTCTAACAGCAATATATATACAGCTTCAAATAATGAATATTGAAACATCGTCATCAATTTTTGAGACTCTAGCAAGGTTTCTGATCATTTTACGGCCATTTATTTCATTTTGTTGATTTCAGTGAATGAGCAGAAGTAAATGCGTTTCCGCTGAGTTAATATTAGACATCAGAATTAACAATCGCGCAACTCTGTTTACAGTCTTGCTTTCTGAACACTTCAGAATAACGTCATTCCATGAAGGCCATCGGAAAATCATCGA